GCAGCCGCTGGTGCTCCCGCTGCCGCTGCTGGCGAGGGCGGGAACGAGGTCCGGGGCCGCGAGCGAAGCGGCTGCGTCCTGGCCGCTGCGTTTGCGCCGCTTCTCGCGGGAAGATTTCTTCCCCGTCATGATGCCGCCGTTGCGACCATCCAAGGAAAGCCCGCCTTGTCCAGAGCAACAGAAACCGGGTCTAGCGCTACCTACGGCACGCACCGGCGGTGCCGGTTTTGCGTCACCTCCGGCCTCGGCGCAGAGCGTGACGCGTCATTTCCGGAGGCGGGGCTCAGGTCTGTGTTTCCTGCTCTAGTATGATGGCTGAGGAGACTTTCAACAGGGGGTTATCAAAATAAGGCTGATGTGTAAACTAAACACGCATACCTAACAAAGGATAATGACTGGGCGTGGTGGCGCACACCTGTGATCCCAGCACTTATTTATCTAAGCCCTTGGTAAAAGCAATTTCTCCATTTGTGAAGCAGGTTCCAGTTCGTATCTAGGGCGTCTTCATCCTGGGTGTAGGCAAACAGAGGCCCTAACCCACTGAGGTATCTGAGAAAGAGCTGGTTGGGCTCATTCATCCCATAAACATATGTGAAGCCCTACTGTGCACAGGTATGCTTGCAAGCATTTAGCACAGTTCAATGAAAAAGGCAGGTAAATGGGCCTCCAGGACCCTTCCAATACCCCAGTTCTGGCTGAGGAGTCAGCCAGTAACAGTAGATATCATAAGTTAGTATGGTAGATGTGATACCTTCCTGGCTTCCTCCAGACATGGCTACATCCTTTCTTATTTCAGCAGGGGCCACAGGACCAAGTTAAAAATTGGGTGATTAAGAGGCGAGGCTCCTGTCTCCAACATGAGAATGGGCATGTAGAGTAGCTCAGGATCCAAACGCTCGACCCAACACTTAGAATTCCTGCTAGAGTGCTGAGGTCTGCTTTGCACTACAGCAGGAAGGCAGAGAGGAGTTGGGAACAGGCGTGTGGGAAGCACAGGGGAGGCTAGGGCTCACAGCAGCCTCTGCGAGGATCCATACCCACCATGCTACAGCCAGGCATTCCCACCTCACCCACTATCAGGACGCAGAGGTGGTGTGAGGAATACCTGCTTACACCTGGCCTCTCTTCTTAGTAGCGAGCGCTCAGCTGGCTCCCAGGGAGCTTGGTGAGCATAGGGTGAGGTGTGCCCTTCAGAAATGTCTATGGGAAGATAACACCCACAAGTGTCTCAGAAAACCAGGCATCCTGGTAGCATGAGCCATGAGATGAGATGTCACCGGGGCCACGTAAGTGCCAGGGAGGAGTACAAAGTGGACGTTTACATCAGACAGGAATATGGCTTGCCATATTGCCGCTGCCCTGCCTGTCCCAGCACTACCTCCTCAGTCCTGGACACCTTGCTGGACCAGTACTCTGGGAACTTCTGTCAATCTGCTTACTTTCCTGCCCTCAAGAAGTTGATGGCGAGGTGTGGTGGCACACAACTGAAATCCCAGCACTTGGGAGGCTGAGGCAGGAGAATCACCTTGAGTTTGAGGCCAGCCTGAGCTACACAGGGAAACCCTGCTGAAGAAGAATCAGAATAAGAAGGAGGAGAAGGACAAGGAAAAGTAGAAGAAGGGGAAGAGGAGGAAGGGGAAGAGGAAGCAGAAGAAGAAGAAGGAAAGGAAAAGGGAGGAGGAGGAGAAGGAGGAGGAGAAGGAGGAGAACAGGAGGAACAGGCTGATGGCTTATGTGTAGCTCAGTGTACCTATCTTGGCCCAGGAATGCCGTGCTGACCTTCTCCTGACCCAACTGGAGGACACAGGGCCGAGGAAGACCAAGACTGAGGGTAAAGTGGCCTCTTGGGGTAGGTACATAACAGCCCATGAGGAGAGGTCTGTGCTGGTTCCCACCAAGAAGAGGCTTCAAAGACGATGTTAGGCCCGGGACAAGGACAAGCTGCAGACCCCTCATGCATGGACCACGGTCTACGCAAACATCCAGTTGTGCAGTTGGCTTCTGTCTTTGGAAAGACTCAGGGAAAGGGAGTCATGCCGGAATTCTTTTCCCTTGTAGCTCTATCACTGGCCTCAGTGGTAGCTCTGAAACCACTTCAGAGCAAAAGCAAGCTCTTACACCAGCTTCAGAAGTAGAATCAGCCCCAGCCCTTGTTCTAGAGCAAGAGCAAGCTCCAGTGCCAGCTTGAATGCCATCTCTAGAGTTTGAGCCATCTCAGTACCTGCTCTACAGCTGGAGCTGGCTCTACACAAACTCTGGAGTTGAAGCCACCCCAGCATCAGTGCCATCAGTAGAGCTTTCCTGGCCTTCACTGTGACCCCACAGAATGGGCGAAGTGAGGAGCAGTCTCTCTTCTTGGTGTTGCCTCCTGACCTGCTGGCAGAGCACTTTACACTAAGGGATGTGGTGAGTGGCTCAACCCAGCAGGGCATGGCAGGGGCAAGCTTTCTCTGGGCATGTGCCATGTAGACCTTCTACACCCTGGCCTAGAGCCCGTGTTCTTATCCAAGTCCCAGCTCCACCATTGCTGACTGTGATCAAGGCACATTTCTGAACCCTAAGACCTCAACTCCTCTCTAAGAGCATCCCTGCCCCCCCTGCAGAGTGACAGTGAAGATGCAAGGAGCAGGACAGATAAGCATCACAGGCCTGGCCCGTGGAGGGAGGGAAGCTCAGTGAGGTACACTCAGGTCACCCACACCATCTGTCCGGGTGCCCTTGACAACCTCGGCACTTATCACATGCCCCCTGTACAGCAGAGCCCGTCCCAGGCACATGCACAGCTCCTGGCTGCAGCAAATGGGCACATGGGCATGGAAATGGACCCGGAGGAGGGGCAGAAGGCGCTTCCTGCTTGCACAGGTTTGAGCTACTTCCTTGCTTGGGCAGGGATCGGGCCAGGAAAATGCCATTATCTCTTTGCTGCTATTGTTTCATCACATGTCCTCATTTGCAGGGTGTCCCAGGTGATCAGGGAACAAAACTCAGAGTTTCCCACAAAGCCTTAGTCACATCATCTTCCCAAGCCTGCCATTACTAGCTCTAGCTGGGGCTTGGGGGACTGTGGTCTGCTATAGGCTACGTGACACTGACTTTCCACCCCAAAAGCTGTCCAGGAAGGTGGGATTTGGCATCCTCCCGACTGTTATTGGATGGATGGAATGGGATGGCTGCCTTCTCCACACCAGCCCAGCCTGCCCCCACAACAAAGCCCCTCCCACCCCTCCTCATGCACTTGACCCCCAAGAGAGAGGCTAACCTGGGAACAGGGAACTGTAGAAGGTTCAAGGACCACTGGCCAAAGGGGCCTCCACCCTTGGGTCCCAAACTTCAGACCTGGAGGCAGATCTGGATACATCATACAGCCCCATGCTCTGCCTAGAGAGGCTGCTGGCCTGTCACAGAAACCCTGCAGGGGATGCCTCAGTATGACAGGTGCTCACGTGGGAAACATCAGAGACTAATAAGTCATGGAGGGTCCTTCCTTACCAGCCTCAAAAGCTCCCACATAATGGAGGAAGAAAAGCATCACTGTTCCCAGCCCCTTGTGTGTGCTGATCAGGCAGAGAGGGCTCGCCCCATAAGAATGACAGTCCGAAGGGGAACAGCAGGAGAACTTTGCAGGAGGCTCCATGGAAGCCTTTATTCAGCCTCAGGCTGCACAATGGAGTGGGGAATGGGGGAGTGGGTGGTACAGAGACTCCAGTTGGGCTTGGGGCATGTGGGAGCCTGAGACTCCTTGTTGCTCTCCCTATGGTTCAGCCTAGCTGAGGACACACACACTGCAAGACCAAAGGTGCTCAGATGGGGGTCTGAAGGCCTTCTTGCCTCTTAGTCCCCGGGCAAGAAGTCACCTTCTCAGGGGCCTTGTGTTTTCATCTGGCTAATGGAGGAATTTCCACTCTAGGCTTCTGACCTCACGGGAGGCCATGAGGTTCAAGGAGGAAATGGAGTGTGAGGAGCTCTGTGCTCGTTAATTGTGATATATCAGTTTGACTTGAGTAGGAGCCACACAGCAGGTTAAGAAAGCACCAGGTCTGTGTAAGCCGTGTTGTGTAGGTAACAAACCAGAAAGAGAAGACCCACAGATGTGGGTGGCACCAACCAATACGCTTACAGCCTGGACAAAATAATAAAAAGGGAAATAAAACTGGAAAGAAGGAAGTCTTCCCTTTTTCTTCAAAGCAGCTCCAGTCTGCACCATTGCCTTTGGATGGTCTTCAGTTCCTCCAGGCTCCAGTGCTCCGATCCTTCAGCCTTCCAATGAAGACTCCAGTGCAGTGTGGTCTTGTTCCTATTTTGCAAATGAACAAACAGGTACAAGAAGGTCAGGCCACTGTGAGAGCTGAAGCTGGAGCCTCAGCTAGGATCAGCATGCTGGGGTCAGGAGCATCAGCACCAGCCCACAGGCCCAAGGTCAAGGGCACTGGACGCTGGAGTGAGGGCAGGAAGGTCATGCTGACTCTATCCTCAGTTCTGGCAGGAGGGGATCTCCAAGGCTGTCACCCTGGAGATAAACCTCAGGAGATCCCAGAAACAACCGAAGGAGACAGTGAGTGATTGTGCCTGAGCCCAGGAGGGCAGGGGCCGCAGGAGAGGAAGGGGCTTCCCTGAACCCTGGCCTTGTTGTTGCACCTCAGGAGATGCCCCATTGTATTTGGCTTCCTCTAGTCACTAGCAGGGCCATGCTGAGACCAGCTGCCATCTTGGTGGATGAGAGGCTGCCACAAGCCCCAGGGCTCCTCCCTTGGGGAGGGCCCAGGGAGGGCATGCAAAGCCCGGGATGGATGTGGGGGCAGGAGGCAGGGCTTTGGGGGTTGAAGAAGACCCTGAGGTTTAGAAGGAGGGTTCTCCTTGCTAACCCCTGAGCTCTCAGCACTCGGAGGAGCCTTGCAATGCATCCTGCATGAGGACACTACTCCTGTCTTACCTGGGGACACCCCAGAGCTGCCTGATCATAGTGTTGCAGGACACAGCTGGACACAGCATATCCTTCTGGCAATGGCCATGGCAGAAAAGTGAGACGCAGCCTTCCAAGCTCAGGTAGCACAAGCGCCTTCTCACCTGAAGCCTCAGTCTCTCTGTTGTCCTCAGAGACAGTTGAGGTAGAAGATCGCTAAGACTAACCCATAACCTCCTGCCCTGCTGTCCAGAGCCCTCCAACCCAGGTATGGGTGCACCCGGACTCCGGGTGGGCGCTCATGGCAGTGCTGCATGAGACAGGAGGCCTCAGGGTGGCTTTCTGATGGACACTGGCCCTCTGGATTCTAGGGAAGACAAATCAGCTTGGAGA